TTTCCCTGTCCCTTACCTCTCGTCTATTTACCCGATCTTTCTCTCTCGTTTCGTCTTACTCACTTTGCTTGAAAGAGCAAACTCAAGCACGCAACTCTCTGCCTCTCCTCTACCGACTCTTCAGCATTTTTTTATCCGCTCCGTCGATGACAAATATTTAAACAGACTCCCTTATCTCGTTCAGAAATTTAAAATACCGATTTATTTATTTATTTATTATTTATTCGAGTTTTATGAGGAACGAGGTCAATTGCAAATTTGTTAGGAAATCTGTTATCGATAGACTCCATGTGCTGCAGGTAGAAACTGCATACTCCGTATAACGAAACCTCTTTCTCTCTCATCCTCTTTCGCTCTCCTCTCATCTCCGCTGGACCGACCGCCACGAGTCCGCCGGCGATCGGCGGGAGTGGCTCTCTCGCATTCCGGTGCCTCCTTGGCCGTACCGATTGCGCCGGCAGCGTTTGCGGACCGAACCGAGAGCACCGAGCGGCAAGATACGCCGATTTCCGGATCGGGGGAGCCCGACGAGATGCCGCTTTTGAAGATCCGCCGGCGAGATCCTAATTCGATGCAGCTTGTCCGCTCGGCGAATCGCGCGAGCGTTGTAAACGCGTGACGTCGATCAACTTTCAATGTCACGATGCTCGACTTTACAACGATCTGCATTGCGATGATACCCGCTCGTTTATTTATACAAAGCGGTACATTATTCACGACTTTATATAAACTTGGAGTTGTAATGTCTCGTTGATCGTTAAAAAAAAATTATTTAAAGATTATAAAAATAGAATTTTATACATATATTTACGAAATTTTTTGACATGCCACTTTACGATTGTGATTCAATCAAACGTATCGAAACTTTTGTGAACGATGCTCTTAACGCATCTGTGAGGATGGATATATCGTCTCTTTTCCGTCTTCTTTCTCTTTCTCTCTCGTGGCTCTCTTCCCAAGCCAAAGCCCAATAATTCACGAATTCGCTCACCTTGGATGAGCGAGCGAGTTCGGTGGCGCCGCGGGCCGAATCTTCTACGTTGCTATATATTTTTGCAAATTCGGCGGTGACACTATCTCGCAGATTCGTACGGCACTTAACGGCTTACGGTGACACGAGTAATTCGCGGAATTATATTTACGTTCCCTTTGTGGAGTGACACGCGTGCCAAAAACGCGCGTCGAGCTCTCCCGTCCGCGGCCACTTTGTAAATAAATTGTATTTGCGTTCGTCTCGGTTTGGTGTTGTATATATTAGACGACGGCGAATATATAACAAACCGTGAGTTCGCGTGTCAATTTGTTCCTTATCGGCTGGACAAATATTTACGTCGATAATTGTCCGCGATAATTCTTATTGTTGTTTGCCACGTTGCATGACGCGAATCTAAAAAGTGTAATATTTTATATCGGAGTTAATAAATATATTTAACGTCCTGTAATGGAAATCTAACAAATTGATGGAGATAATTTGGAGAATTATTTATTTTTGGAAAACTTTAAAATATAATAGAATTATATCAAGATTAATTTCGTTGAGTGAAAGAATATTTATTTGCTTGGGAAGAGAGAAAGAGAGGAAATGTCAGGCGAGTTTCGGTTTCTATCTATGTAACAACTGCGGAGATAGCCTCTCGCGTGGGAAACAGGGCGAGGATTCGGCGAAAGACGGAGGAGAAGAATCTCCTGTGAATTCGCTCGGACGCGACGACGGGAGCGAGGCCGATGGATTTTTAAATAATTGTGTCCTAAAAATAGATGACGCCTGTCTTCTAAGTCCTTGAAAAGAAGGAGCCTCTTTTTCGTATCCGCCCTCTTCGCTTTCTATAATGTTCTCGGGTACGATATGGCAGGAAATGCTTCTCCTGCAGGAACGATCCTTTGGAATCCAAAAGGAATGCGACCGCTCTCTCGTCCAACTTGTTCTTCTGACGTCATCTTCTCTTTTAGTGAATGGACCCGGTCTTCTATCCCTAAAACTATTAGCATGCCACTGATTATATCCTTAAGAAACTCGTCGAGCCTAAAGTCTTTTGCAATATAATCTCCGTAATTGGTAATTTGTACAAAACACTATTCACAAAAAAAAAAAAAAATATTTTATCCTAAAACATTTTACTTTTAGTTATCAATTTTTATTATTGTCTTACTAAATCTGACTCTCATTAATAAGTCAAATCAAAAGTTAATTTTTATAATTATAACTTTGTTACTAATACAATTTTTTTAACAAGACAAATTTAATACTTACAAATTCTCTCAAAGACGCGAATGAGTTATGACAAGATGTAAAGAAGAAGAGTATCTCGAAAAATATTAAAATTGTACGCTTTGTCATTTACGAAGAAAATGGACAGATTAGCATTGTCTCGTTGGGAATTAGCCAATGTTTTGTTTATACAGGATCTTTGCTACCACGGGCGCGCGAATAAATTATCCGTCACGAGCGAATCATTATTTTGGACGATTCTGTCATCTCCTTTGTGGACATTACGAGAGAGAAAGACAGAGATGCACGAATTTTCGCGGGGATTATGAATCATACGTCTGGCGATTACCTTGGCTGTTTCTGTCTTTTCTGGCTGGCGGAAATTGCTGCACTTAATTATCCACGCTTCGCAACCTATTGTGAATAGCCAGCGCGCGCGCTGCCATTTAATTGCGATAATGGCTACTAGGATTTAAATTAAATAACAAAGTGCAATTTATCTTTTTTTTTCTGACGATATATGTAAATATAATTATTCGCACTCTAGAAGAAGACCGAGACTCTTATTTGCTACTTGATTCGCTTTTCTATCTGCCTTCCGTAAGATATGGTGACGAATCGTTTTACTGTTGACACGATACATCTCTTTCGGAGAAACTGTCGCGTATCTGCTTCGAAAGAATCGAATTTATTCCGTCGGACGAAACGGAGAAATCCGAGATTGATATCACGTCAATTAGTTGCGTGCGGCGTGCGGGAGAGACAAGATGTATAATCATATGTATGAAATTACATGGAATCTCGCTGCCGGTGTTTATTGATCATAAGTCTTTTATGCAACGCACGTCGCGAGATTTTTCACCCGTTCCGGATGAAAATCGACCTCGTCCGTCCGATTTTCTTATGCGATAGCAAACTACGCTATTTAATGACGATGCATTACGTAACATAATTACGCTCTCGTATCGCTACAATTCCAAGATACATGATTTTTCTGTTTGTTCCTTCTTTTAAGTGCAGCGATTATTAACGATTAGATACGTGTCTGTATAATTTTCTCTATTCAAAAAAATACGAGATATGCGCGAGAGTGAAAGAAAGCATGAGGGGGAAGGGAAAAAGAAGTTGAGAGAGAGGAAGAAATAGTCTTGAGGAAAGCAGCTTCTCAAAAGGGTTGCCCGTTTATTTTCAGATCGCGCGCCCAGCGAAGGGGATCAACGTCGGTGCAAAAACAGCACGCCCCTGCCACTTCCCGGCTCGCTTACCACCAACGGAGAAGGTAACTATGTCCTCAAGGTTATACGTACTCCATATGTGAACCGACCCTGCGGCGAGAGATATATACAGGGTGTCCCGTTGAGTCGTTATAACGGTAGCGAATTGTCGAATACCGAATCGATTTTCAACGGCGTGAAATTTTGGGAAAATAAAATTATTGTCACGGAGGGACACCTTTTCTCCTCGCATCATGTACGACTTTTTGGGGGTTTTCGAATAATCGTTAAGCCTCTAACGGTGGTCAATCCGAGATGCCCCCGACTACGCCACTGATCGATGGCTACGCCTCTATATCCACGTGGTTAACCTTGATCGATGCCACAATCAATTTATTTTCTCGCATTTCTTCTCTGTGTGGGAAAAATAAAAACAGATCTTTAATTTTTTTAGACGAATTGCGAAGAATTGAGCGAAGGATGACGATTCTAGATTCTTGATTCAGACTTTCATATACGTGCATAGATTTAGAGAAGAGAGAGAAATTTAGTATTTTTTTTCAATTTCTCGTAAATATATTTTCTTAAATCGCATACTCTTCATAAAAAAATTTTGACATATTCTTTAATGTCTTACATATATATATATGTGATAATTATTTACTCATCATTCCGACGTGATACTCATCAAAGTCACGCGAGATTTTCTCGAAAGGGCAGAGTGATGCATTATCGTGTCGGTCGGCGGTCGTCGAAGAAATTTCCTCAGCACGCACGTTCCACGAGGCTGACGCGCGCGTAGGTTTTCACGCATGACGCACCGCACGGATCGCGGACTCGTCGTTTTTCGGGTTGCTCTCGAGCTGCTCTCGCTCGCGTTGCTGCTTCGTGGAACGCCTGAAACGCTTTTGGCCCCGACCAGAACGAGGAAAGTGAGCGCGCTCTGCTCTCACGCCGCGACGATTACTCCCGTTTCTCCGCAATAATTTTTCGCAATTATAGTGTTGAATCAAATTCGAAATTTTTTTTACGAAATTTTTTTAGGAAATTTAATTAACTCTCGAATAATATTACTATGTTAAGTAGCCTCTAAGAAGCAAAAATTTCTAGAAAATTTATTATAATAATTATGTGTCCTTTTTTAGTGTTATAATTATTATTAAATCTGTTGTTTTTTTTACAAAGAATATTCCGATGTTATAAATTTCGGCAACACTTTATCAAAAAACATAATTTGATTTGTAGAAAGATTAAGGTCCGGATAAGAGCGTGACATTAGTTCACCTCTCGATCGATAAATTTTCATGTCCGTGGAAAAAAAAAATTGAATCATAATATTCGTGACGATGTCGGTGGTGAGTTTTCCTCCTGTACGTCGAGGCCTTTACTTTTACTATCTGCCTTTACTAATGCAAAGGCTACTCTGACGACGTCAGACATTCCCCAAGCCGGCAGCAAATTGCGTCTCTGCCCGGCGCTTCTCGCGATCTTATAAGACTCTGAATAACAGACGACGTTCGCGTCGTTTGCGCATTTAATCCGGGAGTGGTCACGTAAAGTGCAATTTACCACAACGATCATAAATTGAAAAGACATCTCCGCTATACTATAACAGTATAAGCTATTAAATGTCACTTTTAAGCAAATCCCTCTCTTAGACTCTTGGGGTTTTGACGCTTGAATTACGCTTTTAATTAAATGTAAACTCTTCTAAAAATTACCCTATTGAATTACTTTAATTTTGATTATATATACTTATATAAAAATTTCAATTTTTAATATGTATATAATGTTCATTTATAGTAATTTAATTTCTGGTAAAAGTCAATTAATATAAGAACAAATCCCTCTCTGTGTAAGTGTGCAAAGCTGGTCATTAAATCAAAGAATTCGGTAGCCATGATATATCAGTTTCACACATACATATAGATTGTTATTAGAAAATATATGAGTAGACATGTATTATCTGTAACAGAAAATTTAGTAAGCGTTTCTCACTCAGGCTTGGAATTTGTGAGATTTAAAAGTGACATTATACAGACGCATATTCGACCTATCTCTTCGACAGCAGTCTCGTTTACGAAAATGAGTATCGTTTGGATGCAATTGCATCTTCGTTGACTTAGTAAATATCATATATATTTGCACGATATTGCACGCAATCAATATAATACGTGATACGAGAAGTTTAGAGCGCGTCGGAGAGGATGGCACGGAATTATAAACACGCGCGCGGTAGCCTTTTTATTTGAGTCAGTTATAGATAGAACACGCTCTGCTTCCGGGATAGAACAGAAATATCGCTTGAATTAGAAATATCAAAACTCGATGGAGCATTTTCCAACTTTCATCGCTGATTAAATCTTCTCAAGGCATCGTTCTTATTTTTTTCATATATTTCAATGCGATAAAATATACGTACATCGGTTATAATTTAAAAATCGTACAAAGTAAGGAAAAAAATGGGGATTTTCGATATTTAGTGATTCGACTATTAAATTATTCTATCATTTGTCACATAAAAATTCTTGAAATTTCTCGCCAAACGAATCTGTGGCAACAAAGTCGTCGAAGTCTGTCAACGTGGACGCGTTGTCGGACGCAAGCTGCATCAGCAGCAGGACGAATGGAAGACGGTCGCAGGAACGTGGAGTTAATGCGTGCGGAAAGGAAAGAAAGGAAGAGAGAGAAAGAAAGAGAGAGCCGGACGGGCTCCCGGGAAGCAGGCAGGTTTGAGAATGGCACGATAGGTCGGTCGGCTGGCTAAGGTGGGTGGCATTCGGCGCGACTGTTTGAGGGAACAGGGGGACCCCTGGCGCCAGACAGCTGCCGCGTGTCTCGACCTCGCTCGCTCGTTCGCCTGCTTCGGCTCTCCTCTCTCCTCGGCCGTCGCGCCAAGCCATGGCTCTCTCTCTCTCTCTCTCTCTCTCTCTCTCTCTCTCTCTAAAAAGACGTTATTCTATATGATCTCCGCTACAAGGATTGACGCATTAAATCTTAAAATTAATAAAGCTACGATTATTAAAGCGATACAATGGACCAAAATCGCGTTGTCTTTGCCTGGGTCCTTCGCGTCTAATAAATCTATCTCTTAAATCACAGCAATTTTTAAAAAAATTGCCGCGTTGTTCAAGAACTACATTATTTTACTGTGTGCTATTGAAATTACGCCATTAATATTTTACGAATTGTATCTTTTTCTAAGTTGTA